TACAGGGATCCGCGCGAACCACGTGCTGCGTATGCCAGTCGACCGAATTCCTCAAAGGGCTCATTTCACACAACCACGTGAGGGGTGGAAGGGAGCCAAAGGTGGGCAAGCAATGGCTTAGCAGCGAAGTATGAGAACCATTACCAGCAAGCTCAGCTTCGCTGGTCACTGCCGTCTTTTTGGACGTGGACCATAAGACGGGCCACATCAATGGCTAGAGACATTTTCAGACAGGGCCCATTCGCGCCCTCAATGGCGCTCGTGCATCCAAGCACCCAAAGAGTAAGTGATGCCTTTTCCAATAATGGTGAGCCTCGTTAGCACCAATTCTAACTTATTCCCTGATAAAAGCGTATTCTTAGCATGACTTGATTCGACCCAACGGATCAAACCAACAGCCTGTTAATTTCTGACAAAAACATTACGGTTGATAGTACCGGGACTGGGACATGGGATAAAGGAGGACATACTTCGTAATAATGTTCTCTCAACTAACGTGTTTACGTTACATCATTGTCAATAATGTTTGCAAACAGCTGCTTCTGTTAGTAATTTTTTTGCAGTGTGGCTTGGTGACATGGAAACTTTCCTTTTCTTGGAACAATTGCTCTGGTGTGCGTTGTGCAGGCTTAAATGACTTGATTTTCTGTGCAGATTAATGATTCTACCTTATAACAATCTGGCTTTATTACTCCGACCACCTGGGAATTATTTAGTACAACCTGTCAAAAGCTGTTGAGGAAGCTTATTTGGCTGGAAGATCCTTCAGTTGTGTTTGAGGATAATGGAGCTAAAGCGTGCCTCTGTTGGAATGCTTCTCAACCGAACGGGTAGCATACATAACAGCTCGTGCTCCATCACTTGGGAGTTTTCAAACTTGTAGTCAGTTCCATGTCAAGCAAATACTTGGACGTTCAAATTCAGAGTGCTTCGGAGAATGTCCGCATTAGTTACCCTTGTCAGGTGAAATGGCATTCAGAAGAATCATTTTAGCTTGCTCAGAGGATATTTCTGCACTTAAAGAGTGCTTCACCAGATGCTGCGAGGCTGTAGTAAAGACGGCGCTACTCATAGGTGGCTTAATAGTAGTATACTAAAATATGAACACCATAGAGGGAGCTCCACAGGGTTGCATCATATAGAGTGTTGTAATTATTTATTGCAAATATATGGTACCAGGATAAAATATCATTTACTCAAGTAGGTGAACAAATATTCTTCCCTAGTTTCATCCCATTTTGTGGCCGGTGGTCGTGTCCTTCCGTTCCAGTTATGAAAACACTAGGACAGTAAGGGTAATCGAGTATGAAGCATATGTCGTTGTTAACTCCTTCACTTGATGGCGATGGATAAGTGATGCATGCCTTCTGCCCACGAATCGATTAAAAGGTCAGTTGCGAGTGACCGGCGGTTCCATAAAATGATGAGTTCATTTTTGACAAAACCACCTTCTAGGTAAGTTATATCCAACCACTGTCCCCGCTCCGGTGCCTTCGCACCGAAAGAAAAACTTGCAAACAACAAACACAGCAGCTTTTATTGCAGCAAGCGAGCGCAAAGTTAGAAAATCCCTGATCTATTTAAAGGACACCTTCTGACATTGATACAGGCTGTCTGATAGGCTTTTGGTGAACACCCACCAACATCGATCGTGCTTCTGTGGCGTGCCTGAAAACTCCTCGACTTCTGCTGAAGTGACTGAATGACTGACTAGCTAGTGACTGGATGACTGACTAGCTTAGATGCATACTGGCTTCCCTACTGAGATTTTGGTGGAGTTTTAGGTTCTCAGCGGATGCCGGGAGTTCCGGTTTTACTTTCAGTGGCCTTCAGTGACCTTTCCGACAAGGTCGTTTTTAAGTATTGTGAACGGCGGTTAAATATTCAGTGGTGCTCACATGTGAACTCATCTAAAACAAAACAACTCCGTCTGAAAAATCAAGTAATATGCTCTTGGATAAAAAGACCACTGCTTGTCTCGACACGATGGTTTCGGTCTATCCAATCGTAAGATTTCATTCAAATGCACTGTACAATAGAGAAGCATTGTTCTTCTTTGGTGTAACCGATGGTAGTGAAAGAGAAGAAACACCAGCTTGATCAACTTCTTGGCATTGTATTAAGTACGATTTACAGGGATCTGTACTTCCCAAACAAACGGTATGCCTCATCAATACTTGTTGAAAGAACCTAACCTCTTTAAGCACACCACCTTCCGAACGTTCATGATCCTACCTTACTGGGAACTTTGAACTCTCAGTCAGTGAACACAACTTTGTTTTGTCGTTCGAGCCACCTCATCGAATAAAATACAGCCCTTGAGACGGGTTAACTTAGAAGCACACTCTGAATGTCGGACATCCAAAGGATATGTGCTACGATGAATCGCAATAAGAGTGAAATCTGAGCACAAGGATGAGGTGTTGTTTTGCTGTAACCAGGATGTACGCATCAAGACAAAGTGGGTGATTTTTGTATGAATTCTACAGACTGAAGATCAACGCATGTTCTGCTCACAGGTGATTTCTGTCAGCCTTTTTCGGCATCCCCTAGAAATTGCAATACTGACTTTTGGCCACTTATGTTGCTTCGAAATAAGCTGTCCATAAGAAAGGCTTAAAGGCTAATTCTAGTCGGTTTTCTCCAAGGTTGCTTCGTCATCAATCGATGAGACCAAACATAAAGCCAGCAGATCACATCCAGGTAAACACCCCGTAAAATAGCACCGCTGTAAAATAAAACCATTTCGTGAAATGCCACCCGAAAGGTCACCAATAAAGTTTCACCAATAAAGACCATGGGCTTATAAAACCTAGTTTGCTAGTGGTTAAAATGGGACGAGGTCCATACTTCGTAGAAATTTAGGCACATGAGGATATTTATGGCATCCAAAAAGTCGGCTTCACTGATGTATCGTGTCGATCTTGCTGGAGTGAATTGGTAGAGCACTCAGGTTCAACTTTGACATCATTATTTCTGAAGATCGCGTATCAGCTTCTTTGCACACAAGTGCCATACTACTAAAGCGGTGTAGTTCACCTGGTGAGGCTCATCTGTGGGGGGCCAAATTTTAGAAGACACATTGAAAACAAGACAAACGTCGTGCAGTGGTTAAAGTTCCAAGAAATCGCCAGGACAGTATGCATACAAACAGAAAACACTTCGTCCATTTAAACCAGTCGACATCTACTGTCTCCAAGTTTTTGAGGACAAACTAGTGTGCGAGATCATTGAAATCACACTGCAGCAAGACTACGCGGGCTTTGTTCTTAGCTAAAATCACTTCAGCGCCTAATATGTGTCATCACCAGTAGCATCATTCCTCCTAGACGATAAAGTGTCATGCTATATGTACGTTAAAATCATCGGAGTTAGCAGTGACGCAACTAGAAAACTGTTACATCTACACTCACTGAGCAACTAATGGTCGAACATGTGATATTAACAGATGGTGCAGAGGTTTTTGCCACTAGAAAAAGTTGAAAATATTCAGCAAAGCAGTCATGGTGATAGTTTCTGTTTGCTACTTTTGTTATAGACAGGTGGAAGAGATAGACCCATTCTAAGCTTCACTTTCATTTCGTGTTTTTTGGGCACCTGTAGCCTCTTGCTGTCAGTAAAGATTATAGTAAAATCCGTTTCTCTATCGATCAAAGTTAACTGAAGTAACATACTGCGTCGTTCTGGGCTAGGAAGAACATCAGAACGGCAGCGAGCTCCTCAAAGATTTCCATTAGTTTTGAGTGTTTGTGTCAAAGAACTACGCTAATTCCGTGAGCGAATCACATTGCAAGCTTTTTGTCTCTCTGCCGTCCTCGATAAGCTAGCCCGATAATTGCCGATTGATGATGGCCAGCTTGACAGGCCTCCAATGAATGCACCATAGTCAGATTGTTCTAATATTTCTTTGGACACCAGCTCGCAGCATTTGGCGGAGCACAGAGGGCGACTCTGCTGGGCTGATTTTGGGGTTTGAACGACCAGCTGAGTGGCAATGAAGCTGGTAAGGTGTTTGACCTGTCAGGCAAAGTGTGAGGCTAATCCAAACAACTCATAAATAGCTGATTGGATGAACATTTTGTTGACGATTCCTATCCCCAGATGAACTCATCGATCTGCCAAGTATATAATTGAACGGAGAGCATACGTCCATGACCTGCTCGAAACGATATCCGGGGAAGCAGATTTTTAAAAATTATTACAAAGCCTCACCAGAGTTCAAGCTTTTTTGGAATTAAATTCCGTGCCAAGTGACTATTGTTGGTTAAAATACAGGTTATGAGTCTGAGAGAGCTCACTAGAACATGAAAAACATGGATTGAGTACACCTACTCTTGTGACATAAGTGGATACCGTAGTAAAATTCATTTTATCTTATGCTCCGTATCAATTCCAGGGTGACTGTGTCTATGGTCGACAGATTCTGCGTTTATCGTCTACTTTATCGTGTTTATGTTTACCTGTTTGGCTAAAGCAATTTTCGACCGCTATTTTAACAACTCTTAACCGAAATAGTATAAGGATATATGTGTAAGGATAGCTTTGGTCGAGGCCATCCAAAAACGGTTGAACACTGTACGGGATGATTTAACCAGTTGCGAAGTTTCACGATAACGCGTAGGTTTTAATCGTGAAAAAGAGTTCAGCTGCCAACATTAAAAACCACGAGAAGCCATTGTCTTTATGGGCATTTTATGCATTCCGGAGTGACTACTTGTGGGACGCTAGTAGTCTGTCCGAATTGTGGATGTGATGCATCCCATACCTATGATCTTGACAGAGTGTAACTGACAAGCGTTGGCATTTGAGGATAGAAAAAGAGCTCACGGGTGAAGTACGTGTATCTACAGATGGTTAGCTGACGAATTCAACGTACAGCTCTTTGATATATTCTTCACTTTTTTATATTTGCATGGAGTTTTATTTTTTTATCTTGTCCTTGCAGATTCCTTGATTTGGCTATTTCTCTGTCCAAGTTGTTCAACTGTTGAAAAGTGGTTCTAGGAACCGACGTTCGTTGCTTTCCTCACAGTTATTACTGCAGTAGAGCGAAATTTCGTTTGAATGGCTTCCTCGTCAGGTTCTATTCTTTCTAAAGGTACATGGAGCCGTACAACTTCATGATGTTCGGATTCACGTGTACAGGACCTTGTGCTCGCAGTGGAGTTATTTTTCGTCACATATGCTTCCTTGTCCTTAACAGTGTTCTTCATTGAATCGCGTGGTTTCATCTCAACCGATGTCTGTTTACCGCCGAGGCTTGTACCACTTTCAGTGTTGGATTTAGGCCAGTTATTTAGAGAGTTCAACCGCATTTGATATCGTGGATTCGGGCTAGCAGCATGTCCTCGTGGACCTTGCTCCAAGCTGATATTCGGAGTATCTTGGACACTCACGACTCTAGTCGTTGATGGGCAAACACTATCTGATCTCTGCTCCTCTATAGAAACTTTGTTGATTGCTGTTAGGTTGCCTGATGTTGACTGACTCGCTGGGTGGCTATATTCATAACTCTTCTTGGAGAATTGGTTCAATTCCGTTCGACCGCTATACACAGAAGAGTTGTGATCTGCCTTGAATTCACGTGAACAACTCCTGTGATGCGGGTTTACTGTGGCCGTACAGTGATGCATCCGATGCCGATCTCGCCTGTGTAGTTTTCGGTGTCGATGTCCTTGTGAATAACAGGCATTTGATTGTGCTTCTGTTCTGGACAACTGGGTTGTCGAAAGTGGATCAGTGGTTTGCGAAAGAAAACCTATGGACGACTTTAGTGGGGTAATTTGTGGTGGGCTGTCTGATCCTTGGGATATTTGCGGGAGTTGCTCACCTGGAGAGGTAAGGTAACTATGGTCTGAGCTATTTCTCACTTCTGGTATGCTCTCCAGACTACCACCATGGGCAACGCGATTAATACAACCTGCAGTAGCAGCGGAGTTCCCCTGATTTGATGGTGAGCTGATTGCTTCTGATTCGACCGCCACAGCTGAGAGCTGATTCATCGATTGAGTTATACAAACAGTCGAATTATCAGAGTTTTCAGACTCATTGTCGTGGTTTGACCCCAAGCCATGATCAGACCCGACTCGATGCAAAAGCGGTTGCCCAGAGGAACTCAGACAGGCATTACTCGGATTGCGACAGTCTGATAATACACTGCTAATCTGACTAACTTGATCGTCGCCGCTCTGATATAGATTAACTTTGCGGAGCATCTCTTTGGCATAAGCACGACCAGAAAATCTGGGTATCCCTGATCCTTCCCTTAAATACTGCGTCAACCCATAATCAATGTCGGCACGAGTTTTAGAAGACTGCGGCAGGCACGACGTGCCATTCATCTGTTGACATCCAATTCCAGCAGATGGTGGCGGTTGTGCTCTGACCTGTGAACCTGTTCGTTTCGAACAGAATGGTTCTTCGACCGTATGGCCCCGAGTTGACTGGAAAACAGCAGCAGAACAGTTTGTCCCGTACAGCGGAAACGGTGGTTCCGATAGGGCGTTAGAACTCTGTTGGTTTTTTTCGAGACCAAAATTTTCCACTGGGGAAGTCTGTTGTGTCGCCTGTTTTCTATTATACTGTTGTTGATTTGATATGGGAGGTTGAGGTTGAGGATGGCGTGGCTGTGACATCTCTGGGAACCGCAGACGGCGTTTCCAGGACGGATGAACTCTAGACGTGGGATCAAACCTTTTTTGATGCCGAGTTCGCTGTGCCCAGTCAAAACGCTGCCCATCCTCATCGAAGTGTGTACCCCGAAGACGTGGTACACGAAATCCATCCCCATTGAAGGAATCCAAGTGATGCTGATTGGTATCAAGCGATATATTTTCTTCGTTATTTTCTAAAGTCCGCAGACTGTTTGGGTCATCCAGGGTGGTCACTTGATTCAAGTTAACGTCGTTTGTATGCTGAAGGGCTCGCTTTCCAGCTGGAGCAATACGAACCATTGATTCAGCGCTCTGATTATGCGAATGGTTCACTGATCTATCGTAGACTGCTCCTTCAGCATCTTTGGCAATGGCTTCATAGTCCTCAACTAATTGTTGAATTACTTCTCTCGCCAAAGTGAACTCTCCTTCTTCCATTCCCTCAGCCACATACCAATGTACATATGCTCGTTTCTCGTAAAGTTGATCAAATCTGCGTCCGACCCCTGTCCAAACATCGCGGATGGCAAGGTTTCCTGCAATCATACTCAAACTGTTATTTCTCAAGGAGATTGTCTGCATTGTGTTTGGTTGAATAGGAGGGGCAAAATTCACGCCAATTTTGAATCCGGTTGGACACCAGTCGACAAAGCGAGCACGACTCATACGGTCACCCTTTAAAGCTGACACAGCATTGATTGCTTCAATTGGTGTGATGGAACCTCTGAACAGTAGAGCACAAGATATGTAAGCCCGTTTGACGGCGGAAACACTTAGTAGCTGATTGGTATCGTAAAACGCTGAGCGGACAAGCTCGACCGCGGAGTACCTTTCAAACGGTTGGCAGTCAGCACCCAAGAATGGTGCAAAAGCCACCATAGGAAAATGAATCCGTGGGTATGGAATCAAATTGATCAGTAGTTCATCCACGTGAGAATGCTGTTGACCGATAAACTTGTAGCGGTGCGATAGAAACTGCGTCGCGATTGCGTTAGCAATGACACGATTGGGCAGAGTGAATCCAGCGTGTCGCATTCTCAGGCTGTCTTCGACTACGTTCAGCATTGCTTCGTTGTCAGTGATGATGACACAGTCGCAAAAGGTCAAGTTGGTTGAAGAATGAAGCAAGGCGTTGTAAGGCTCGACCATGAGTTCGGAATATCCCGGGGATGGATAAACAGTGGTGGCGAACTTGTGTTTCTTCCCATACTCGTCTGAGAGGCGTTCGCACAAAGCACTGGTCAACCCCGAACCAGTGCCTCCGTTTGCGGAATACAAAAGTTTGAAGCAAGACATATTATCACACTGCTCCACAAGAATTCGTAAACGGTCCGTCACTTCGTTCATCTCAAATCGGGTCTGGGAATAATAACCCCGTGCAAAGTTGCTCGCAGCATCCTCCTTGCCTGTGATCAACTGCAGTGGATGCCAGAGTTCACGATAGGCTCCACTTCGAATTTCATCTGAGTAAACAAAGGAAAACAGATTCAGGGGAACATAAGACAAGATAATACTCCAAAAGACAAAGGTACACAAAGTTTTCTCCCAGCAAAAGTCTCGATGCAAAGTGGAATAATGTAATACAGCTGGACCGATAAACGCATTAGTATCTTAAATTCATGGACTTTGGGCACTGTGGTAGCTCTCTATCACTCTGTCCTGTATAAATGTGACTTTTGGCCGAAAAAACCCATGGTAAACATTATTTATTCATTGTTTCTAAAATATCCAAACCTTAAAGAGGTCGACCCAACTGGATTCGGATGAGAGTTCGTACTCAACGGCAGAAATGACATCCACATTGTTTCAGAGGGGTTTGGTAAACAATCGGTGGATTTATTGCCCAGCAACGTTTCGCTTTTGACACAAAAGCTTCGTCAGGCAAAGTGAGTAAGTAAGTAGGTTGACTGGGTTTTAAGGCAGTCAGGGAACCAATCCATGAAGTTCCTTATGACTAGTGATGTGATCATTTCTGGGTGTTCAGTCTGATGTTCCTGTTTGTCGATTAGTGGGGATGACTAAGATTTGCAACGGATTGGTTAGGAGGGATTCGTTTTTATGATGAACCCGGATTTTTTCGTCCTTGCTTCTTCAGTCTAAGACACCTTAAGGGGAAATTCCTCCTGGGGTTGCTCACAGATTTCGTTCACCTGTGTTTGTTCAAGGGTGCTGGGACCATGGTTTAGGGAGGGGGGTGGGGTGGTTAAGTGGATCTAACTCTACTTGGATTTTGCACATTTTGACCCATGCGATTTCGCTGATAACTGCACACCACTTCGTGTCATCTCGGCTGATCTAAGACCACTCTCCACACGTTTGCAAGTTCTACCTCCTCTATTCTATTCACCGATTGTTTACCAACCCCTATGAAACGATGACTTCCCAATCGGTCCCAAACATTTTCCAATTGATTGAAGACATCCACATTATTTTCCGTCAGCGTTTTTGTGCCAATAATGTAACACAAATGACCTTCTCATGTTCCGGTTAGAGGACCATAAAAAATCCGAATTCGGGGTAGCCTACCTTGGAGAGCAACAAAATGACCTTTGTGCCATATTTCAAATATAAAAATGGTAGGAAGTCCAAAACTTTCAGCACCTACCAGCTCAATGAGAGACGAACCAAAAGAGCACGGATTTATCACGGGCCAGGCCAGGCCACCTTTTTATGAAGCACGAAAGACGTGTAACTTGACGGAGATAGGAGATTTCATTTCACCAGTAGAGTCAAGAAGGATCACAAAGCGGTTTTCATCTTATTCGGAATCACTAACAGTGTATAGCTCAAGAAGCTTAGAAATTAAACCTCTCAACCTCTCCGCCAGTGATTAAACACTTACCCGTGAGGTCACTGCGCGAGCGAAGAAGTCAGATGGTGTCAGTGATATAATCGAACCACTTGGACTGGTGCCCGAGGCGTTGGAAATCGCCAAAAATACCAGCGTGAAAAGCATAGAGTGTGTAGAAATAGGAAGTGTGTGGAGAGCGGTTTTAGATTTTGCGAGATGACATGAGGTGGTGTGCAGTTATCAGCAAAATGCTCCAGGTCTAAAGGTACAAAACTGAAGCAGAGTAAGATCCAGTTAACCACCCCCACTTCCAATCCAAGCCAATTTCCCCCTCGATAAATACAGGCGAACACTAACCAACAAACGGAAACATCAGACTGAACACCCAGCACTGTTCAAGTAGGCTAGTCATAAGAAATCTCACGGATTGGTTCCCTGACTGCCTTAAAACCCAATCAACCTACTTACTTACTCACTTGGCCTGACGAAGCTTTTGTGTCGAAAGCAATGCGTTGCCCAGCAATAAATCCACGGATTGTTTACCAACCCCCTCTCAAACGATAACTACCCAATCAGTTCCAAACATTTTCCAATTGATTGGACGTTTTAACTAGTTTATTGAGGAACCCCCCTCCCGAGACAGACCAGCTCAAGCACTTGAGGCTCTCGTAACGAAAAATGGGCCCATTTTTTCATCAGTTTGTAGTGACTACTTTCCCGTGACCGTGTTTTTCTCCGTCGTGTACTTGACGAATAATTCGTGCGAAAATACCCTTCTTTTGTTAGCTGAATTCTTGCGACAAAATTCTAGCTTGTAGTCACTATCGAACATCGGTTAGCCCAACTAAACCTTTGTGAGTCTACTTCAATCACTTTCAAGTATCGGTGGTGTCAAAACGAAGATAGAACTTCCACAAAGACGAGATTCTGATCTACCGAAAAATGAAAAACGACCTTCGATTACTATGAATAGTAGTAAATCAGTTATAATAGTCAGTTTTCCTCTCTGTTTCTCTCACAGTTAATCGATTTTCATGGATTTCCTCTTTGAAGAGTTAAAAAGAAGTTCATGACAGTGGCTTTCATTGGCGAGGACCTTTTTAAGTTTCGAACTAAGTCCAACTGGTTATGAGTCGTACTCACCAGTGAGTATCATCATCATCATCGACAGCATGACATAAGTGTTGAACACTGATGATTTACCCCAGCGAGTATGGAAGGTGAACATCGCGTTTGGATGACTTCATAGAAGTGTCTAAGGCAGACACCATCTTCTGGTGGACACATGAACCATGATCTGGCGTGATTGCGTATTGTTTCAACTTTTTTACGACAACGAGACATGTGTGATATACTGGAGTCGCATTTGAAATATAGGTCAAATTCGTTGGTCCGGCTCTATCCTGAAAACATGGGTTCTTCAGGAAGCTGAATAATGCGTAGCGGAGAGCATCCTGATTCACAATAAGCCGCTCTGTCTTATGGGACAGGTGGAATGGGATCATGTGATTAAACACCGGTAAACTGAACACCAAAAGAATAGTTTCCGAGGAGGTTAAAACTAACTTAAATGGGTAGAACTCGTGTCAGTTTAGTCGTGGTTTTAGATCATCGGTCAACCTGGCACGGTACAGAAGCACTTGAGGACGCATATTGGAAGGCAGCTTTTCTCTCTACCCGAATCTAAGCGATTCATCCGAGCAGAGTGCAAGAAAATGTTTTGACACTTTGCGGAATATGGTGGGCGATCTAGAATGATGGTAATGTTTTGGAATATTGGTAGCTCGGGTATATTGGTTGGTAATTGATCAGGTGGCTGTTGATCGGTTCGCCGAGCTTGGCAATTGATTTGCAAACGTTTCGTCACCATTCGAGGAGACATCTTCAGTGCGCTGTTGGTTGGGTAGTTCCTCTCTTTGTGACTGCGTTTATATAGTCTACAAAGAGCAGCCTTTGCGCTGTAACCTGGATTCTGATTGGCCCGTTCTTGATCTGTATTGCGTCGTGGTCGGCTTCTCTGTTGGTTTGTGGCGTGCCTCCTATTTTTAGTAGCCTGCTGTTCTATTGATTTCTTCTTTGAGTCCTTGTCCGGCCTCGGGTTCTGTGGTTCTGGATTTCCTTTGTCCTCAGAGGCTGGTAGGCAGGATCAATCTCAATGTGCCTGTTTATTGCTCCACCAGTGGAGTACCACGCCTCCATGAACTCGCGTTCTTTCTTTGTTCTTGCTTGGCCCAGTATTCTGACGTTATTCCAATCGAAATGGTGTCCTTCCCCATCTTCGTGTGCAGAGATGAGAGAGAGTTGGTCATGTCTCTTGGTGGCGAGCTTATGTTCGGTGATTCTGGTTGACAGTTTCCTCCCTGTTTGTCCTACGTAGTGTTTTTCACAATCATTGCATTGAATTTTGTAGATTACATTTGTCTTTTCCATTGCATTAAGTGTCCCCTTTGGTTTTGATAGTACTCTTCGCAGCGTGTCAGTCGGTCTGTGGGCCACTTTTATGGCATGCTGTTGTAATATCCTGGCGGTCATCTCCGAAATGTTTTTGATATATGGTAATGTGATTGTTTTGCTTGTGTTTCTGGTTGTCGTGTTGGTTGAATTGCATTTTCTCAGAGATCTCCAGACGAAATTCCTTGGGTAACCGTTCCTTTGAAACATTCTGTATAGGCGTTTCTCTTCTTTTACTTTAGATTCTACTGTGTTGCAGTGTGTTTCAATTCGCTTGAATAGTGTCCGGATGCAGCTCTCTTTGTGGCAGTTTGGGTGGTTGCTGTGGTAGCTCAGAATTTGATCCGTGTGCGTAGCTTTTCTGTAGACTTCCGTTTGCATTTGTCCGTTCGGCAACCTTGTGACGAGAACATCTAAAACCGCCAGTTTGTTGTTGTTTTCTTCTTCCATCGTGAACTTGATGTCATCGGAGACACTGTTTATCAATTGGATTGCTCGTTGTAGTTCTCTCTTCTTGATGATGACAAAAGTGTCATCTACATAACGTACCCAAAGCTTCGGGTTGATGTCCGGCAACACGGTCCTCTCCAGTTTTTGCATTGCGATCTCGGGGATGAACTCTGAAATTGGGGAACCCATTGGTGCTCCTTTCAATTGTTCGTAGTATTCACCGTTGAATTCGAAGTACGTGGTCAAACAGAGGCTGAGCAATTCACATATGTCTTCCTTCCTTAGAGGTCCACTGGGAGGTCCATGACTGTCCAGTAGTTCAGGGACTGTTGTCTTTGCGGAGTGAAGGTCCACTGATGTGAACAGTGAGCTGACATCAAATGAGACCATTGTTTCGTCCTCTTCTATTGTCACATTCTTTAGTTTATCCAAAAAATGTTGTGCGTTTTTGATTGAGTGTTGCAATTCATTGATGAGATATTTGACCTTTCTCCATAGTTCCTTTGCAAGGTTATAGGTGGTTGTGCCTGGGAGTGACACAATTGGCCTTAGTGGTGTGGTCTCCTTGTGTGCTTTCGGGAGTCCGTAGAAGCGTGGAGTATTGGATTCTCTGGCTCTCATTCGCCAATATTCTTTGGTTGCGATCTTTTGGAGGTCCTTCAGTCGCTTCAGGCTCTTGTTGATTTTGTTCGCAAGTTTTTTTAATTTGATCATCCTCCAGATGGCGATACGTGGTGGTGTCGTTGAGCAGACCTATAACCTTGCAAAGGAACTATGGAGAAAGGTCAAGTATCTCAGGATAATTCAACAGCATGCCATAAAAGTGGCCCACAGACCGACTGACACGCTACCCAACCAACAGCGCACTGAAGATGTCTCCTCGAATGGTGACGAAACGTTTGCAAATCAATTGCCAAGCTCGGCGAACAGATCAACAGCCACCTGATCAATTACCAACCAATACACCCGAGCTACCAATATTCCAA